CCGTTGCAGCGACAGCCTCCGGAAGAGAGGCCAGTTCGGGGAACCATCCATATAATTGTGGGAGGTTCAGTGGTAGCAGGGTGCACCTCGGCAGTAGCCCGGACTTCAGTTCGCGAAGCGGCCCTTGAGGAACGGAACCCCCCAAAAAGACCAAAGACCGAAGAACCAATCTTCTTCACGGAAGACGATGCGCGAGGGGTCCACTAACCCCACGATGACGCGCTCGTCATTAAACTAAGGATCAGCAACTTCGAGGTCAGATGCGTACTCGTAGATTTGGGCAGCTCAGCGGACATCCTCTTTAAATCAGCATTTGACCAGCTACAGTTATAGAGGAGCGAGTTGAAGCCCGCGAACACTCCTTTGGTGGGTTTCAGCGGAGAGGAAGTCAGGCCCCTCGGAAAATTAACAGTACCTGTGGAAGTCGGCACATGGCCTTGTGCGGTCAAACTCAACCATGATTTCCTGGTGGTCGCGACCCCCTCCCCAAACAATGCCATAATAGGGTGGCCAATCAAGCATATCCTGCGGACAGTGGTCTCCACCTACTATTTGGCCATGATGTTCCCTACAGACTTCGGTGTGGGGGTAGCGCGGGGCGACCAGCTTGAGTCCTGCAATTGTTATGTTGCCGCCCTAAAGGGAAAAACCAAGGTGGCCGACGACCTCGAACTGGAGCAGCCTGCGGAGCAAGGCAAGGAATGAGCTTCGCCCGTAGAGGAAACGGTCGCAGTCCCGACTTCGGCTACAGACCCAGCTCGCACACTACAGATCGGTGCTTCCATCGAGGAACCCCTATGAACCGAACTGGTGAGTTTTTTACTTCAAAATTTAGATATTTTTGCCTGGTCCGCGGCCGACATGCCCGGTATTAGCCCCGGCCTGATAACTCACAAACTTAATACTGACCCGGTAGTCAGACCCGTTAGACAGAAGAAACGCAACTTAGCCCCAGAGCGCTGGAGGGTGGTCGATGAGGAGGTCAAGAAGCTCCTCGCAGCAGACTTCATAAGGGAAGTCCATTACCCGAGCTGGGTTTCCTACCCAGTGCTGGTGAAAAAGGCAAATGGCAAGTGGCGCATGTGCGTCGACTACACCGACCTGAACCGAGCTTGCCAAAAAGGTTGCTTCCCCATCCCCAGGATTGACCGCCTAGTGGACGCGACCTCGGGACAGGAGTTGCTAAGCTTCCTAGACGCCTACTCAGGCTACAACCAAATCAGGATGAACCAGTCCGATGAGGAAAAAACCAG